TGCCCCCCCCCCCCCTTGTCATAAAGAGCCAAAAGTTTCATTAGGTAAAAAAGANAGTTACCTATTTCACTATCTTCCTTATATATAAAACGCTACACGCGTCTGTCCGTCCTGGTTATGTATACGTTTTCAGTGGAATGCCACCGATCAAGCACCCCTCCAGAGTAACTCCCTTGTTAATCCAGTTTTTTATTTGCCCCCCCCCCCCTTTTCGCTTGGGCCCCCCTTTCCCATGCCCCCCCCCCTTTTCTCATGGGTCATAAAGAGCCAAACTTTTTTCTTCCAATTTCAAGATCCCTGCTGACGTCGACGTAGCTACGGATGAGCATCATGTGCTTGCCCCAGCATCAATCCAATCATCTCATCGTGGTTATGAACCTGAGAAAATGAATTGTTTAAGGAACATTTTAAAGTTACTAAAATCGCCGAAACCCACTCAAACCCAAATTTTTCGAATTTGGCGAAGCATGGGAAAATTTCACTGATTTTCATGAATCTTTTTTTTACTGGAATTTTTCAGAATATTGTATCTTTTCAAAATTATAAGCTTAAAACGCCTATAAATTGCACCAATAGTGTTCATATAAGTTTTTTTCCCCATTTGAGCAGCAAATTCAAAAATATTTTGAAACAAAAAATATTTTTCTCATTTAGATAGCTTTTCAAAAAAAGGATTCCCAACTTTTTGCAAAAAAATCAGACCTCCCTCATCTATTCAAGATGTGATCTTGATAAATTTTCCTAATTTTAAAACTCTAATAGTTCCCATTTCATCACCTTTCATATTCACGAAACCACTGCAACCATCTGAATCGGCGATCTGGCAATCCGGGAAACCGTCTTGGAAGTCTTCGAAGCTGAAACCTTGAAGTTGTTGAACCACGTCGGTGCATAGAAGCTACTAAACTTTAACGTTGTAAAATTGGTACTGATTATTTCCCCGTTGCGTTGGATGGGATACTTTGCCTTATCTTATTAGAATTTCACAGAGGTCAGGTGATGCTCTTCGAAATTTTGAAAGAATTGTGAAAATAAAAAATTCAATGAATGGAGAAGGTTTTATGGGTCATCATACGGTATTTCAGGCTGGCAATCAGAAGACAGAGAATGTACATCAAAAATTTATTCATCTAATGCCAATTCATTCGTAACAACAATAAATTATTTCCTAATCCTGTTTCTCTTTAAAATCAATCCAAAGTGGCTTTAGAAACTCTGCAGCTTCAAAAATTGTAGCATTCGCGTATATAAGGTGTGTCAGATTGATGCCATCGACTCTCAGAACTTTTCTGTTGAACTCTCCGACTTCTGTATCACTGACATCATCGAAATCTCCGGTACTTGAAAGAATATTCGAAATGAATGAGACTTGGTGATGTACGGTGAAACGGAAAATAAAGCGGAAGATGTCATAAACTGATAGAACAGCCAACACGACGTACCACCACCAGAGAGCAATGAATAGTTTCTCATTGAACATGTTCACCTGAAAACAGACATGCATTGCGTTGATAATATTGAGACACTAACCATGAGAACACACTGAAGTGACCAATTATTCACATATCCTAGTTCTCTGACTTGGAAATCACAGAAAGTGACTCTTGGGAATGTCCCACTCTCTTGCCATTGACGTCCTTGCAACAAGTCCTTTGTGACAGTCCATCCATAAAGAGGACCCATTCCCATGAAGTAATCCATGAATCCCATGGATAATAAAATTACGACTGTTGCAAATACTTTTGTAGCCATCAGACATACTGTCAATCGTGAACCCCAAAACTCTCCATCTGCTGAAAATTCAAAATATTTCGTTTGAATGAGGTTTTTGCGATTACCGCTTCGATTAGCTGTTTTCTTTTTGTATTGCATTTGTTTAGTTTTCTTTTCAATATCTGGATCTGCTGATGCATATCCCTCCGTTGCATTTTTACGAAGATGAGATGTTACAATGGAGATATTAATACCAATTACAGATTGAAGCGTCATCCATAAAACTCTCGGAATATAAAGAACCAGAGCCAATCCAAAAAGAATGAAGGGTACCCACTAAATAACTAGTAAATATAGTTTAGTGATTAGACGTCTCCAATCTGATACCTGATAATACCTCAGTTCTTTGTTCTCTCGTGTTACTTCTGTCGGCAAATTTGTATCATTCATATTCACATAATACGTATTTTCAATGAGACAGTACGTTTCCGCATACTGCTCCCATCCATCTTTGAATTGTTTTGGCATCCAACATTGAATCGACTGCCCCACATATTGTTTTGCCATGATGAAGAAAGCACATGATGCTAGGATAATCACAGTAGCAAAGTATCGAAGTCTAAAAATGAGAACTTTCGGAAGTTAGAGGAGTTTATGACTCACCTATCAATTGCATCTGAATCATAGGTAGGTGTGATGTTTTTTGAGTAGAAGGGTGTCTCAATCTTCATCTAAATCTGTGGCAATATTAAAAAATACAAAAAAAAATATGAAGATATAAAGTCATGGTATATCCATAGCGGCAATAACCAAGTTAAACATACAACCTCGATCATTTATAAATTAAAAAAAAATTAGAGACTATGAACAGAATTAATAATTTTTATGAACGTTGTTGGTTTGAATCGCTTTCACTGTCGATTGAAGCGTGTGGAGCATGAGCTGAAAAAGAAACTGAACGTATTTTCGAACCCTTTTATTTTTTCACTTGGGTAATTCTCCATAAATTCTTCTAGAGCCATACTGTGATATAAACCTGATGCTTCTGAATAAAACTCCAATAGTTTACCGCAAAGACTCGAATAAAATGCCACTCAAACTGTCAATTTGAGCCCTTATATATCATTTCCTTTAAAAGACATCAAAAAGTGGTTAACTGACACCACTTTTTGTGAACTTTCACAGGAATCGAGATATATAGGCTCAAAGTTGAAAGTTAGGGGATAATTCTATTAGAGAGTTTACGGTATTTTTTCCATTTCCCCTCTTTTCCCATCACGTTCCCTTTTTCTTTCACTCACCCAGTTCCTATTGTTCTTCAGTTGGAGTGTTCAAGCTGGACGTGTCTGAAAACAGGAACTGTTAGAGAAGAAAAAGGGAGAAAGGGGACGGAAAAGAGGGAAAACTGTGTGCTCACTTCCAACAGAAAGGTTATAGATCTTTTTCATCAGCTCTTCTGAATTCAGACGTCCGCTGTTTGAATCCAGAAGTCGGAGGAAGAGAACTCCGTCATCTCGGAGAACATTATGATACAATTCGTTTGCCTTTTGTGGGGAATGGTCAATTCCTTCCTGGTTCTGGAATACTGAGATTTTGCAAGATATTGAATTCAAAAATCATACCAAAAGATCCAAGATGAACCCGATTCTTGACTGCTTGTCAAATCGTCTCCAAACCCAGATAATAAAATCAAAAGTGGTAGCAATGAGAAGGAATGCAAACCAGAACCACAGGAAAATAAATATCTTTTCGTTGAACATATTCACCATCAGCACACATTGGAGACTCCAGTGATGCACATTTCCGAGCTCCCTAACATTGATATCGCAGAATGAAACTCTTGGGAAGTGACCACTCTCTTGCCAGTGTCTTCCATGGAACATATCCCAAAATATTCCCCATCCCCAGAAAGTGTAAGCAGTGTTCAAGAATGAATTGAGGAGGAAGAATTGAAGAATGATATTGATCAGAATCAGAAGTTTCATAATCAAATAACAGTTGAAGATTCTAGATCCGTTGTGTCCTTTCTGTTGTTCAGCTCTCCAGTTGACTAACGCGACTTGTTCCAGAGCCTTATCTGCACTCTCCAACTGTTTTCCATTTTTTCTTGCAGCAGTTATCATATCAGCAATTGTAAGTCCAGTGTACGATGGGAAAATTATCCAATACGCTCTTGGGATACAGAAAAATAAAGCTTGAATGATCAACAGGAATGGCACCCACTGAAATCCACATATTCGAATTGAATACGGAAAATGTTTAACTAACCTGATAATAAATCATTTCCCTATCTTCTCTCGTATCTGCAGCTGGAAGATTTGAGTCTTGCATTGGTACAAAATAAGTATTTTCAATGAAGCAATATTGTTCAGCAAAGGATTCCCAGCCATCATTGAATTGGTTTGGAGTCCAACATTGCATTGGTTCTCCAACGTAGTTTTTAGCAAACAGAAGAAGAGAGAAGCCAAGGAGAATTGATGTTGTGATTACATAGTTCAATCTGAACTAGGATCTGTATATTAACTGTTTGGATTACGAGGATACCTGTCGATTGAAGAATCATCATGATCTGATAGTTTGGTAACAGTCTGTGCATAGTGTTTGATGTTATTCAACATCTTGGTCTACCCTGAAAATGGAGTTTTAGGAGCAAGAACAAGAAAACTGACATAAAAAGGTTATTTTTATAATGAATCCTAAATTTCAAAGTTCGATAACTTTCGACTCATTTAACAAAATAAAGATTTAAACAGAAAAGAAATACTTTAAACAAGATACAAGTAAAAGTGTTTAGGAAACTGTGGTCGCGGTGAGTCTCCATTCCAGCGGCATGCCTGTACTCCAAAACTCCAAAACTGATAACTCCAATTCCAGCTCTTATCTTTGTGTGTCTCTTGCCTCCACCTCCCACACCATCTCTCATTGAGTCACCGTGTCAATTTACTGATAATATTGTTGAATGAGACGACCTTGTAATAATGTTGGTTGCCGTAGTGCTCAATTTTCATTCCTCCAATTCCTGTCCATACTCTGATTTGAGATTTTGTTTTTTTTTAGTGATGGATCAAATCATAGGATTAGTGACGCAGTATACCGACAAAAGGCACGAAGATGATTTTATTGATCGGCTCAATTTTCAGTATACTTCTTATGTATTCGCACTTTCAGCACTAGTCATCGGATATAATGTGAGTTTCAACTTTGCTTTTTTTCGCTACAATTCAAAAACGCATAATTACCGATACTCAAGTTCGTTCTACCATAAAATTTGACCAGAGCGTTGTACTGGTTGGAAATTTAGAGTGCAAAAATTCACATAATTGACCAGTAAACTGGCCAAGTTTCAAATTTATTGATCAATTTTGAGCTGAGTTATCGCATGTCAACGTTGCTTCATCTATTGAAAATTGTGCCAGAAACATTACGCCGTCCATCTTTAGACAAGCATAACAATACCCAGACTTGAGAGATCGCTTTAAAAATTCCAGTAGATTTGAATCAAGCATAAAGTTATATTTCTACCAATTTTCGTGCTTCCTAGATACTTGTCTCGAGATATACCCATTTTTATCAGTCCGGGTAATTGTGCGTCACCCTGTATTGACTTATTTCGGAAAAGCAATTTTTCAGACTTATTTCGGAACAGCAATCTCTTGTTGGACACCAGCAGAGTTCAAAAAAGGATGGGTCGAGTACACAAGAGATTATTGTCTGATTGAAAACACATACTACGTACCACTGGAAGATCCAAACATGCCACCAGAACATTATCGAGAAGAACGAGAGCTCACTTATTACCAATGGGTTCAATTCATTCTCGTATTCCTCGCGTTTCTTTTCTACCTTCCGTATTTGTACTGGAGTACTGTCAACTGGTGGTCAGGTCTTCAAGTAAAGGCAGTAGTAGCAGCAGCTTGTAAATTGAACAAAACTGATGTGAAGGGTCGGCAGGATCAAATTGAGAAAATCGCGAGTCACTTGAAGAAATTTATTGATAGACAAGGAAGAAAGAGTCCGATTCCATTTATTCCAAATGCGATTGGAAGGAATTGGGTGTCGTTCAACTATGTGTTGACCAAGTCTCTTTTCGTTATAAACTTGTTCGCTCAAATGCTTTTGATCCACTTTTTCTTGGGTTTCGATATGGACGATTTCTTGAGTAAGTCATATTGAAGCGGAGAAATTCTTAAAACAAGCACATATTCAGGTCTAAAAGTTGGATTTGGAAGCAACTGGATTGCTGATGGAATCTTCCCAAGACAGACAATGTGCGACTTTGAAGTAAGTTTTATGTACTTTTTTGGAGAGGTTTGCAAACGAATTGAAAATCCTTCCAGGTTCGCAAGAAAGGAAGCATCCAAAAATACAGTGTCCAATGTGTTCTTTCCATGAACATGCTGAACGAAAAGATCTTCCTAGCCCTCTTCTACTGGCTTCTTGCTCTTATTATTCTCACGGTCACGAACCTAATTCTTTCGTTGCAACACTTTTTCCGAGCCTCTTCTAGAGAAGCTTTCGTCAGAAGAATGCTCACTGCAGGAGGACATGGATCAACGGATGATGATACTGGAAGTCAGAGAGATGAAAAAGAGCCATTGGTTGATAGACCAACTAAATATTCGGTAAATTTCATGAATTTTGACTCATTTAACATTTTTTATTCCAGAACGATTACAATCGAATTCTATCAGTCAACCCAGATGTCGTCGTTGTTCTTCATTTGATCGCCAAGAACGCTGGAGACAATGTTTGCCAGAGTGTAGTGAATGTGTTGTTCAAGAAGCTTTCAGAATAAAAATCTCAATTCTAGATCATGATAATTATATGCACATTTTCATGGTTTTTGTTTCTCACATCATTATGATTTTCAATAAATTATGGACTTTTAAAGGTTTTAATATAATTACATTCTGACCCGTTGAAAGAAAACATTTTTGCTCCGAATTCCAATGTTGGCTCAGCTGCTCTTTTGGCACATTCGATGAAATGACCAACCCTTTTATCGACCGTTCGTATACTAGCTCATACATATTTTGTCAATACTATGTTAAATTTAATTTTTCATCTGTTTGTCATACTTTTCCCTCTGAAAGTGGTTAGTACCAAAACAGGTAAGAACTTTTTAGGGTCGGTCGTCAGCGTTTTTCCTCGGGCGTGGCCGACAGCTTCTGGTTGGAGGTTGCTCAGATTCCGGTTAATAAAGTTTTCAACTTCCGACCAAAATCTGACCATGGTCCGCTATACAACCGTTTTTGGGCAAGTTTCGACCAGAACCAGACCAATATTCATCCACAAACCAAACCCCTCTACTTCTAATCAGAAGATACAAGCCGAAATCTGATTAATTCATCTCCTATCCCAAATTTAAATTCAGAATTCCGAGTTTGTTGTCAAGTCGGAACGAAGTCTGAGAACTGCACTTCGTTCTCTGAACCAAGAGAAATGATTGGTGTCGTCTGTTGCGGCAGCCACGTTTACAATACATCGAGTCAACTATGTTGCGAAGAAAATGTACACAATCGGGACGGAGGTACCGTGCCTTTCTTCTCTTATCTCTTTTCCCTTCGATGGCATTGTTTTACCGTCAAATGTGTTAGAGTTATCAGTGAAAAAGGGCGAATACTAATGTGTATAAATAAATAATGACCATAATCAGCGTATTGTTTCAGGCGGTGTCATGGCTCACTCATGTTGCGGTACTAAACCACTTCGCCTTGATCAAACTTGTTGTGGAGGGGTGGTAAGGGTTCATGGTTTTTGAAAAAGAAGGGTTTGAGAGCAGGGAATGAAAAAGAATGGATCTGAAAGATAAGGGTCCAAACATCTATTACGGTCAATAAGATAAACGAAAACGTATTTTTCAAGCCATTTTGACCATTTCATTTTCAAAACTCTAGAGCTCGGCTGTCAAGTTTCCGACCACTTTGAAAACGTCGGAGAGTGTAAAACTGATCTAGAAAATGTTGTATTCACATAATTTCCTGAAAGTACCAAGTTTTTCAGCTATTTGCTGATTTCTGAAAGACGCCAGTTTTTCACATTTTTAGCACCAAAACGGGCCCACTCTCCGAAATGTCCAAAGTGATCGATGAGGAAACTTGACAGCCGAGTTTCACACTCCTGAAAGTGGCCAGCCGGGGCTGTACATATTATTTCCCAAATTGTACAAAATCTGAAAGTACATATATTCTCAACCCCTCTCTGGATCAGTACGTTTCAATCTGCTTGTGATCTGATTTCTAACATTTTACACCTTGGAAAAACTTGCTAGTCTTCCTGTACAATAGTTTCTGTGATTAGCCTAGATTGTATTCGTTTATCACCTGTGAAGGATCAGGATTAAACTATACACACGAATTGCGCAACATCATGCTGTTATGTCATAGCGGAAAGAGAAGTTCACAAGATCGCCCATAAGCCGCTTGTCATTTGTTTTTCGATCTCCGAATTCATTTCCAGATCCATAGTATAATTGGTGGTGATTGCTGCGGCACCGACGTCTATTTCCAAAAGGATGCCACTGCCTTGTGTTGTGATCAGACCTTATCATTGTGAGTTTTTTCTCTTTACTTGGATTTGTGAAATGGGATGAGGATGAATGGCATTGGATAAAAACAAGATTTGAAAGAGGAAGAAAAGGGGAGAAGATGTGGAGATTGAGAACCATGCAAAGTCACCAACGAAAAAAAACCTCTTCCCAGCATCGTTTAACGGTTGCGTCGTAAACATAAAAGTGTGATCAGATCTCGTTCGTTTCGAGGTTGATTCTCCCGTGTTTTTACCTTTTTGCCACCAACTACATGATGAACAGTGAGATGTGGTTGTAACGATGAATGTGTAATACGGGTAGTAGAAGAGAATACGTTGAATAGAAGAATAGATGTAGCTGTGAGTAATTTCAGATGTAATGTAATGGCGCCACGTCACAGAGAATAACAACTTGCTACTACAGCTAGATTGACGGAAGTCTTGTAAAAGACAAGGTTATGGAGATTATTTGAAAGGCTTTGTGAGAAAGCTATGTTGTCTCTGAAAATAGATATTATCTTGAAGAGGAATTGATTTTGTCTTGAAATTTTTTTGTTGGTTTTGAAAAATGAACTCGAATGGTTCCCTGTTAGTAAGGCTGTAGCAAACAGAGCAGCGGTCGGCCGTGATCCGTGAGTAGGTTGCCGTGAACTATTTTCGGAAAATAAGCTCGGCCTCCCAGGAACTTCTAGAGCCGCTAGACCACCGTATTCTACCAATCCCAGAAAAATCCTAACCAAAAAAGCCACTGCCCTGTTCTCGACCGCCTTGTTAGACAAGAGAAAGAGTACTATAATTGAGAAAGTATTATTTCGTTCTTCTTCGATTTTTTTTATTGTTTTCAGAAAAACGACTCCAGATGACGTTTGTTGTGGCAATTCAACTTTTGACGGAGGTATCAGTCAGATGTGTTGTGGTTCGTCTGTTTTCAACTCAACAGAACTCAATTCTTGCTGCACCTTGAACAATGGCACCGCCCGTCCTTACCACTCGTCCTCCCATGTTTGCTGTGATGGTCCACTCGAGAAATCATCGAATGTTCGAGCGTGTTGTTATCTTCGCAATGAGGACGGAAAGTTTAGAGATACGGTACGAGAGCAAGGGTTTCATGAGTCTTAATTTGATTATGAAGACACTGATAATGGCAAACTGATGTGTTTGTTTTGTTTCAGCAATACGACAAGACGAAGCAGTGTTGCAAGTATCCGTACGATAAAATCTATTCGATGGGACGGAATAAAACATGTTGAATTTATTTTGTTGTAAAAATTCTAATGAAAATAAAGAAAATATATATTGAAAAGTGTTGGAATCGATGTTGACTAGATATGCTTTGGAGTCTCTGATTTGATTGATTCTTCTAGAAACGGAATCCGGAATTCGGAATGAAATTAAATCCTCTGAATACGGAACGAAAAACAGAGACACGTCACACGGAATCGGGAATTCGAACATCTCTGGTGACGCCGTCTATTAAATCTGAAAGATCTGAAAACTTTGGAATTCTGTAAATCCCTACTCAACACTACATTTTTCCTACTTTTCTAACAACAAATGCCCGAATCCCTTGTGGTATCAAAAAACGCAATTAACCAAATGTGAGAAATTCCAATCAAATCCAGATAGACGCTGGCAACATTTCATACCAAAAAAGCATCACATTCTTTCAATTTGCATACATTTAGCGGATCTTCTATTATTCATTTTTCAATTTCCCAAAAGTGTCTTCTCCTTTTTCGGTTTTTGAATGAGAGAGGTGTCTTGTCATTCCAAGTGGCTTCCCGCCAATTTCTATTGCCCAATCTCTTTTTATTCTCAATTTGAATACGCCCTCTCTAAAAATACAACAGGTAACGAGATCAAGAAAATATAATGGAAAAAGAAAAAGAAGAAGAAGAAGAAGCGTAAGCAGAAGAATTAGAAGCTGAAGAAAAAAGGAAAAGCTGAAGGCCGCAACGACAGGTGGTCGGTTTGGGATCCCGCCTACCAGCCATCCGAAGAAACTATAAAAGGTTGGAAATGAATCAGTTCGGTATGCCATTTTTGGTTTCACAACAATTATGAAGTTCTTCTCCGCTGCTGCCTTCGTCGCTGCTCTTGTTGCCTCTGGAAACGCTTGCCTCGGAGGAGGAGGTGGTGGTGGATGCTGCCCACCAGCCCAGCCAAGCTGCGGAAACCCATGGTTAGTAGTTTTGCTTATTTTTATCGTATGAAAAAATATCTTTAATCTTCATTAATTTCCAACCTTGAATAATTTCAGCGGAGGAGGAGTCGGACCAGCCGCCGCCGGACCAGTTGCCTACCCAGTTGCTCCACCACCAGCTTATGCTGCTCCAGCCGGAGGATACCCAACCGCCGGAAAGTAAACTTCCAACTTCCAGATGCAACTCGATTGATGCCATGAGCTCTCAAGTTCTCCCCTTCTTTTTGTATATTTCGAAATCCGCTGCGTTTTCAATAAAATTATTATCAATGCAACTCTGTTTTTATTTCAAAATTCAAATGAAAAAAACCTCGGAATCCAAAACTGTTTCATACTCACCGTATTCGGAAGTATGTCTTCTGATTAATTTATTGACCAGGTAATGAAGACATCTCATTGAAGTTCAGTGTTTCAATTCTTAGTGTTGCGAACGTTTTCCGACTTTTGGAATCCGAAAACCATTTCTAAGCTGAACTACCGTTAAAGAAGTCCAAGCTTAACTACCGTATCCCATAAGATTAAAACACATGGAATCTTGTTTAGAGGAAGAAAACGGAAAGTGGCGTCATCACTCGCTTTTTCAAGCGGATTACGCGGACGCTGAAGTGCAGTAGCAAACGACGCAATCGAAAAAAAAGAAGACGTTGGTGGCATGTTCAAAGTACATTCGTATTACGATGAAGACTGTAGTGAAGAATCGAAAGTGACTTTATTCATAATAATCATTTGGATGAATAGGTTTGAAGACAAATGGAAATACTATGAAAGAAAGAATACGAATTATCGAGAAAACAGTTTTTTGAAAACATGACAATGATTTATGATGTCTATCAACATTAACTAAAATTTCAAATATTAAAATTAAAAATGCTGAACTGGACTTAAAGAAAATGTTGTTTGATACCATATTTTCTCATTAGAAGCCCAACAATACGGTCAACTTTGAGCTCAATGACCTCTATTACTATGAATGATATACAGTGCGTTGCAAAATTATACGGCCCGTCATGTTTTGGATCATAACTTTTGAACCGTTATAGTTATCAATCTAATTTTTTGAAAATCAGATTTGAGATTATAAATTACATTTAGTGGTCAATTTTCGTGATGAAAACTTGAAAACTACCCGAGTTATCTGAAAAAGTCTGAAAATACACCATTTGCAACAGTTGCAGAATTATACGGCCACTAAACAGATCGGGTAGATCATGACCTCCAGGAAAGACGGAGGAGTCTAATTTTGATTATGTATGATTCATAGCACTGTAAAAAACTGTTTTCATTATGTATGTTCTTTTTCTGTGAATTCGGCATTATGCCCGTGATCGTTTGCTGATTTCTGCTGAAAAAAGCTTCAATCGGCGCGTTTAGATAAGCTGGAAAGTTCGAAAAAGCCAATTCAAAGCAACTTAATTATTCACACAGTTCATTTATCCAATTCGTCCTAACTTGGAAGCCAGAAAATCATCGAAAAACTACTGCATCAGTTCTAATCTTGAAGTCAAGAGATCCATTCTTGTTTCTCCGAACGCTTTGAAGCCGCGTCTTGATATGATACGGTAGTTGGATCTAGGGGGTAATTAGTAGAAAGTTTGAACAGCTCGTGAAGATGATAAAAACATCAAAAGAACATTCGTGCGCTCTGATCCGAGGCTTTCCGACGGTCACAAACTACGTCGTCTCGACATCTCCCGGGAGAGTGTGAGAACGGACTGGATGGTGGCGTGAAAGCTTAAAATCATCTTACAAAATCATTTTCCTCTGATTTATTCTTCATCAGAGAAAATAATTTAAAAAACCTATGAGTTATTTATCTTTTCACATTCGGTTTTCATACTTCCCGGGAGATGTCGAGACGACGTACTTTGTGACCGTCGGAAAGCCTCGGATCAGAGCGCACGACTGTTCTTTTGATGTTTTTATCATCTTCACGAGCTGTTCGAACTTTCTACTAATTACCCCCAAGATCCAACTGCCGTATCATATCAAGACGCGGCTTCAAAGCGTTCGGAGGGACAAGAATGGATCTCTTGATTTCAAGATTAGAACTGATGCAGTAGTTTTTCGATGATTTTCTGGCTTCCAAGTTAGGACGAATTAGATAAATGAACGGTGTGAATAATTTAGTTGCTTTGAATTGGCTTTTTCGAACTTTCCAGCTTATCTAAACGCGCCGATGAAGCTTTTTCAGCAGAAATCAGCAAACGATCACGGGCATAATGCCGAATTCACAGAAAAAGAACATACATAATGAAAACAGTTTTTTACAGTGCTATGAATCATACATAATCAAAATTAGACTCCTCCGTCTTTCCTGGAGGTCATGATCTACCCGATCTGTTTAGTGGCCGTATAATTCTGCAACTGTTGCAAATGGTGTATTTTCAGACTTTTTCAGATAACTCGGGTAGTTTTCAAGTTTTCATCACGAAAATTGACCACTAGATGTAATTTGTAATCCCAAATCTGATTTTCAAAAAATTAGATTGATAACTATAACGGTTCAAAAGTTATGATCCAAAACATGAGTGGCCGTATAATTTTGCAACGCACTGTATAAACTGTTTCAATTAATAAATTATTTTTCCTATATTCACCAATGTTTCTCAGGTGACAAAGTTTCAATACCTTTCACAGGAATCGAGATAATTGAGCTCAAAGTTGACGGTTTGGGCGGGCTTCTTGTAGAAGAAGTACGGTGGTTCTGTATTTCTATTTTTATAAACTTATCTTTCAAGTATTAAACTTAAACACATCCCCCATTTTTCTTACTGATATACAAAATTTTATGTTGAATAACTCATTTCTAGATGTTTCTATCCAGAAAACAAGAATCTAGACATGTATCGGTTACAATTTTTTTTGTAAACCACGAAGGAATGTTCGATTAGACAACAACATTGCTTCCACCTGAACTTGTCCCTCAGATATCCACCAGCCGTAATAATGACTCAGACTGGCATCACACGGTGTGTTCAGTGTAAAACATGCTTGATGGAATAGAATAATTTATTTGAACTTGAAATTGGGGATTTGTTTCAAAATATACAGTCACATTAATTTTCTTCTGGTGGTACAGTTTACTTTCCAGCAGTTGGATATCCTTGTGGTGGAGCAGCGTATTGTGGTGGTGGAGGGGGTGGAGCAGCAGCATACTGTGGCCCGGCTCCTTGGCTGAAAGTCGCAAAATGCTATTTCTCAATACATAGAAATCAGAAATACCATGGGTTGGAGCATCCTGGCTGAGCTGGTGGGCAGCATTGGCCACCACCTCCTCCTCCGATGCAGGCGGATCCAGAAGCAACGAGAGCAGCGACAAAGGCAGCAGCAGAGAAGAATTTCATGTTAGAAAGAATGTAATAACCGATGACGGTATATCACAGCTACTTTTTTTCTTTTTATACCTCCAAATTTTTTCGAAGATTACATAAAAGAGGCGGACCAACACATGGCTTGCATATGGTTTTTCACTCTTCAAAACTCGATTTTTATCTTTCTCTTGTCTCTAGGTTGATCATTATGCAACACCTCGTTTATAATCTTTAATACTTCACAGGAATAGTAGAGAAGCAAAGCTTGGATCTTTAAAACACAAATAGTCCTAAAATATACCGGTCTTATGAGAAATGGGAAACGACTTTTCTCCCACCCACAATCAAGGAAATGTTCCACCTTCCGGTTGGATAAATGAACAAACAGCAGGTAACGGTGATCCGCCTTCTCTATCTTATGCAGATGAGAATACTATATAAATGGCTGAAACCATGCCAAACTTCATCCACTCTAAGATCTTCAGCCTATCAAAATGAGATTCTTCGTTCTTCTTTTCACTCTTTTTGCTTTTGCTTCTGCCTGCATCGGAGGTGGTAACAAATGCTGCCCACCAGCTCAACCAGCATGTGGAAATCCATGGTAGGTATCCTAAAAATATGATTCAATGGAAACCCATTAATTAGTCAATTCCGAAAAATGTCATTATTCTAACCACGCCCATCTTTATAACCTTTCGAGAAGTCTCCTCGTTCAGCTGAGTATCTGGCATAAGAAAACAGGTTTATCTTTCGTACTTTTTACATTTAATTCAAAGAGATTTCCTCTGAAGTATAATGTATATCATAGTTTATTTGCAGCGGTGGAGGAATCGGTCCAGCCCCAATCGGTCCAGCTCCATATCCAGTTGCCAATGCTTATCCAGTTGCTGGAAAGTAGATCATTTGCTGAACTATTTCCATGTGTTCTGTTTGGAATGTTCATTTTTCTGTATATTTAGGATATTTTATTTAATTTTCAATTTAAATAAATTTTTCGCCTTATTTTGATAGGGTTTTTCTTATTCAATTAAATAATCTTGTATTCTTTAAACTGATCAAGTGGGACGGTTTTTGTTGTTGAAACAATTGTAGTTACCTGGGTTTTAGTTTTCCAAAACTTTCATAACTGGAATAATTTATAAATTGTATTCTGAAAATGTTGTGTACTTTAGTTGAACTGCCGTTCATCTGGTAGAAATCCCAGAATCTGATAACTTTGCAAACAGCTGTCACAATTCCCCTGTAAAACCGAGTGGAAAAATCCCATAATTGAAGAAAATTCAGCTGAGTCTGAGGTCCATAAGAGCATTTAAAAACGTTAATACCGCAAAATATTCGTGATATTATGTATAATGAACGCATTTTATTTTTCACAAGAACAGAGACAGATTGAGGACCGTTATATTACAGGTCATGCGGTGATTGTTCTAGAAAAGTGGTATTTTGCTTCGAAAGTCCAATTTCTGATGGTTTTTGATGATTGTCTGATATTTGAAACATCCTAAACGTTTAATGCAAGACTGACTTCCAAGTTAGAACGGTTCCACACTTCAGGATTTCCCTTGGTTGTACTCACTTTAAAATTATTTTCTTTTGAAGGTTTTCGTACTCCTGAACACCATATTGAATGCAGAATAATTTATTTGAACTCTATTGCAGAGTAGATATGTTTCAAATATACAACCAAGATAAATTTTTTGAATTGATAGATTACTTTCCAGCGGTTGGGTATCCTCCGGCAGCCGGTGGTGGAGCAGCATACTGTGGTGGTGGAGGTGGAGCAGCGGCGTATTGTGGTCCGGCTCCTTGACTGAAAATCGCGAAATGTTATTTCTCAATACATAGAAATCGAAAATACCATGGGTTGGAGCATCCTGGCTGAGCTGGTGGGCAGCATTGGCCACCACCTCCTCCTCCGATGCAGGCGGATCCAGAAGCAACGAGAGCAGCGACGAAGGCAGCAGCAGAGAAGAATTTCATGTTGGAAAGAATGTGATAACCGATGAAGGTATGTTTTTCATTAATGTCTCATTCATTTTATACCCAGCATCAGAAGCTGCTTTTTCATCCGAAGGGGGTGGGTCATTTAATATAAATTTGACATCTCCTCGTTTTCCAAAACCTGTCGCTTGCGTAATCGGCAGGGAAACCATGCGGTAAGACGTTACGTAATGAGAAGACTACACACGTCGACATAGCAAGTTCAAGTTCTCCCTCTTCCGATTGGAATCTGAGGACATTGTATACTCACGAATGATCACGCCCGGTATCATGAAAAGCTATAGTGGTTTCTCAAAGATTCGTTATGGAGATTATGAAATGGAAAGTGCGATTGGATACAATGTGAAACGAGAATCGTATACCAATGAAAATACCAGTATTAAATATAGCATGCTTGAAATTATCTCACTCTGAACATACTCCCAAACTTAACCTCATCAAAGGTCTCTTCAAAAATCTAAAGATCAGAAAAGTGAAACGAATCGAAACGGGTTTCGTATCAAAAAATAAAAGAAAAAATTGGCTTTATCTGATGTCCCGCCCATTCATAAAGCTGCAATTGCAGGACAAACGCGTCGCTATAAAACTCAAATCGAATTGCAAATCGGCATACCTTCATCGGTTATCACATTCTTTCCAACATGAAATTCTTCTCTGCTGCTGCCTTCGTCGCTGCTCTCGTTGCTTCTGCATCCGCCTGCATCGGAGGAGGAGGTGGTGGCCAATGCTGCCCACCAGCTCAGCCAGGATGCTCCAACCCATGGTATTTTTGATTTATGTGTATTGAGAAATAACATTTTGTGACTTTCAGCCAGGGAGCCGGACCACAATACGCCGCTGCACCACCTCCACCACCACAGTATGCTGCTCCACCACCAGCTGCCGGAGGATACCCAACCGCTGGAAAGTAATCAGTCTATTCGAAAAGCTGATTTTGGTTGTATATTTGAAACATGTCTACTCTGCAATAGAGTTCAAATAAATTATTCTGCATTCAATATGATGTTTATATTGTGAATACAACCAAAGTACATCCTAAACTGTGAAATGGTTCTAACTTGAAAGTCTGTCTTTCATTAAGCTTTAAGAATTTTTCGAACATCGGACAAACACTGGGAAAACGTCAAAATCAAAAATTGGACTTTCGAAGCGAAACACCATTTTTCACAATTTCAGAACAATTACCGCATGACCTGTAATAGAAGGGCCCCTAAACTATCCCATTCCAGCCATATAGGAAAATGAACTCTGAGATAAAGTTCAAATGAATTATAATGCAATAGAAGTTTTTATTTTTTAATTAGACAAATATTTTTATTAACTCAGGTGAAGAGTCCCATTAGGGGACGAGGCGAGTCTGACAACAAAACAGTTGTCGAGGGTGCGGCACTTCGGTAGCCATAGAAGCTGTTTCCGTCCTCTTCTGATACGTCATCCTAACGTTCGAAACATTTTCTAATCTCTGAAAAGTTTTCAGATATTTTATTACATTGATAATTCGCATTATTTTTCCAACGTATGCCGACTTTCCCCCGCCAGATGCATGCCCGCTTCTACTCATCTGCCGTTCAGCCGCCAATAGTCCGTTCATGATTAGAGATAGCTCCGCGTCACTTCGAAACCAGTCACTTCAAAACCGGTTCAAAACCGTAGTAATACAGGCGAACGGATTAATTTCAGACTACAAAAACAACTTCAGGGTTTTCAAATATGCTTGTTCTGATAGAACACAGTCTGAAAATCGAAAAATTTAAGAATATTTCGATTTTTGAGAACATCAATTTTGGATTTTTTTTTCGATTTTCATTATGTGTTCTATCAGAAAACGCATATTTGAAAACCCTAAAGTTGTTTCTGTAGTCTGAAATTTGTCCATTCGCCTGCATTACCACGGTTTCGAAATGACCGGTTTCGAAGTGACGGGGAGCCGAATTTCTGACAATAATCTGAAAAAGGCATATTTTCCTCCACGATTGAGTGGCTCGCCGATCTTAGGTGGCCCTTCCGTGGTATCGCAACTCGCCCATTTTCGCCACACCTGCGGCTGCAGAGACTCCCCTCGATCGAAATTAAAACTTCGAGCAGTGACATGGTTTTTTGCTAACTCATCCTTTCTATTCAATTCATGTTTGTTATCTTCCAACTACCCTTGACATGAAATCAGAGAAATTCGTATCATGTTTTTCAAACTGACACAAAACAAAACTGACAGAAAAGAGAACTAGTGGGTGGAGCGGACGGTTATCAATTCTATCTTTTCGATACTCGTTGCCATAAATATTTACCATATTTGTTATTTGTCCTGTTTATCAGTTTTCCACTTTCCACTTGACATTTAAAATATGCTGAAAATAGTTTTGGTGGTTCTTTTGGCCTTCTTGGTGCAGTATGTCTTCAAAACTTTGTGAGTTTGAGTTATATATGTTTCCTAGGCGTTTTTTGAATTCAGGTTGATGTTTGATGTTCAAAAACGAATTTACAACCATCGACCAGGACAGTGTAGAAAAATAGAAGGACCCGTTCATGGATCGGAAGACATAACCATTGTCGATGAGAAATATGTTGCATTCATAACTTCTGGATTGGTTTATCTGAATGACGACCCGTCCCGTGCCACATGGAAAGGCCAAATATTCCTCTATGACTTAACTAAAAGAACCTACAAAGCAGAATCCATTCCAATTCTGAATTTAGAAGATGAAGAAGGATTTCATCCTCATGGAATATCTCACTGGATTAAGAAAGACGGAACTATTCGTTTGTTTATTGTTGTGCACTCCAAAATTTTTAAGCATTCCATTGTGATTCTTGATTTTGATGAGACCAAGCGTCAGTTGAATCATGTTAGAACAGTGAGGAATGAGAAATTTGTTCGGTAGTTTAACTTTTAACGGTATTTTTTCAAGCTATTATTTTCCAGACCAAACGATATTGTGGCAACTGGAGATGACTCGTTCTTGGTTTCAAATGACGGAGGAGCTCAAACAGTTTTGGGAAATGCGGTTGAGATGTTTACTGGTTTCTGGAAAGGAGGATTAGTCTATTACGATGGAAAGGTGATCATAGAATTCATAAATTTCTGTGAGCTAAATAATTTTTGCAGACATCACAATATTTATTAGAGAACACAGTTGCTAATGGAATCATTCTTTCTCGTGATAGAAAGACATTGTTTGTTTCCCACATCAATCAAGAAACTATTGGAGTTTTTGCTTGGGATCAGAAGAACATTTCAATAAAGAAAATATCTGAAATTGAAACACTCACTGGATGCGACAACTTCTATATTGATAAGCAGGATAATTTGTGGTCGGTAAGTAATGTTTTGTATACATATATGATATATCTTTTTAAAATTTTCCAGGGATGTCATCCAATTCTGAAAGATGCTGTTGGACACCTTGGAGACGCTGGAGACCAGTCTCTGTTTGCTCCATCTCAAGTTCTTCGTTTTAAATTCTCGAAAGACTTGAAATCAGCTGAAATGGTTGAAGTATTTTCTGATGATGGAAAATTCACTTCTGCCAGTGCGATTGCTGTCGGTTTCGATGACGGAAAACAACTGCTAATTGGAACTGTCTTCCGTGATTTAACTCATTGTGATATTGATGTACCACTTGATTTCTAATTTTTCATGATTCCTGATTTTATTGAATCGAAGGCTAATTTGTAGTCATTTTTATGATTTCTGATTTTTCTTTCGAAATAAAAGCTACTCTGTAATCGATCGACACAAAAAATCGAAATAAATAGAAAAATAGACATTTTGGCCCTGTTCTCGAAAAAAGGAGAGATAACTCTTCATCTTTGTTTGATAGTTTCTCTATAGAAAAAGATAAAATCTGCCAGGTTATTTACTGTGTTGTATTTTACTTTAATTAGGTCTATTACCACTATGGGAAAGTAAAGAAGAGGACCTTCAGATTATCGATAAAACAATATTATTCTGTTACAAAAAACGGAAATGTGGAACGAAAGTGCCACCAACTACTTTTAAGAATCAACAAAAAACCAACAAACATTGTTTACTCTTTCTCCTAGAGACACAACCTGGCGAGAGCTTATTGAACTCACTTCCCGGGTTTTCCTTCTTTTTGAAGACAGCATCTCCAATTTCTTGCGAACATTCAATATATCTATTTTGTTTTTGAGAGAGATCCTATCACAATTCAGTTGTCGAAAATAACAAAAAACAACCAATAACTTCAGAAAATATTCTTTTCAGATTCGATTCTATGTCGAAGATGTTTTTCAAGGCTGTATTCATCGTATTATTTGGAATCGCGATTCAATTTTTATTCAAAACTTTGTAAGTAAATGATTTCTATTTTTTGGGATCCCCTCCTCACTCTTTTTTTCAGATTAATGATGGATATAAACAAAAGAGTATATAACCATAGACCTGGAGAATGTAGAATAGTTGAAGGACCGAGTGAGTTGATACCTGTGTTTCAATTTTCTTGAAACCCCCCTTTTTCAGAACAAGGATCTGAAGATTTCGAGGTAATTGAGGACAAAAAGATTGCCTTCATCTCATCTGGCGTCGTTTATCTCCCGAAATCACCTTCTGATGTGACGTGGAAAGGAGAAATTTACCTTTACGATCTCACGAAGCGAACCTATAAAGCCGAATTGATTCCAGTTTTGAATCTAGAAAATCCTGAAGAATTCTATCCACATGGACTGTCTCATTGGAGAATGAAAGATGGAACGATTCGGTTGTTTGTAGTCGTTCACTCAAAGACTTTCCAACATTCCGTAGTGGTTCTGGACTACGACGAGAAGAAAAAACAATTGAATCATGTGAAAACTATAAAAGATGAGAAATTTGTTCGACCCAATGATATCATTGCCACTGGAGAGAATTCGTTTTTGGTATCAAATGACGGAGGCACTCAGACGGAGTTAGGAAACATGCTCGAACTAATCAGTGGGATTTATAAAGGAGGAGTTGTGTATTTCGATGGAAAAGTGAGTCACGACGTGATTGAAAACGAGACTGCAAATGGGATAAGTCTGTCACGAAATGCTAAAACTCTGTTCGTTTCCCATATAAATAGAGAAACAATCGGGATCTATGCATGGGATCAGAAACTGGTGTCCGTTCGAAAAATTTCTGAAGTTGAAACCCTCACTGGATGCGACAATTTTTTTATCGACCCAGAAAATCAGATGTGGACGGTAAGCTAATTCTAGCATTACTTTTTAACTATTTATAATATTTCAGGGTTGCCACCCAGTTACAAAAGACGTTGTGGCTCATTTTGGAAACCGTTCAGATCCCACTCTTTACGGTCCTTCTCAAGTTCTTCGAATCACTTTCTCCAAAGACTTCCAGAAAGCTGAAATGGTAGAGATTCTTGCAGACGACGGAAGATTGGTTTCCGCGAGCACAATCGCATTCCCGTTCGAAAATGGAAAAAAGATTTTAATCGGCACTGTTGGTCGCAATCCTCTCCACTGCGATGTTAATGTACCATTGAACTTATATTAAACTGTTTATCGACATTTTATGGCACATAATACTAGTCGGATATCACAATGAAAAATGAATGCGAATGTAAATTAGATAAATATTGAAAATCATATCAATCATGCTTTCTAATGAATTGAACAATGTATCCTTTTGACGTCATGATGGAACGCTTTCGCACCCAGACAGAGTACCGTGAAAGCCAAGTTGTTTCGAAGAGTGGACTGCACATTGGTTTTTCACAACCGCTGTCAATCTGAAATAAGTGCTTGAATCGGTTAGGGTTCATTGATAGCTTAGTTTACCTCACAGAAAGTCTTGAAAATATTATTGGTTGGGAAGGGTGTTGGATCATTATGTACCAACAGTTGAACATCGTTGTCATTGGCAAGTGCTTGCAACTCTGGGGGAACTTGGCAACACCCATCGAGACGAACATGGTTAATACTTGGTTTCACATCGAAGTGGCCAAGAACTTCTTTGAGTTGGCGAGCAGAGAAATCAGATACTCCGATTGAAGCGATTTCCGATGTTTCCACAAGCTTCTCCATATATGTGTAAAGAGGTTTAACCTTGTCGAACCAACGGAGGTGCTCATCGTCTTCTGACTCCCCATCAATGAGATCGAGCTCGGGGAAGGAGAGAATAAGAACCTAGGAAAATTTTCTTTTGTTACAAAATCGTTCCTAAACATTCTGGATACCTCAATATCTTTGGTCTTCAGTTGCTCCTTGAGGCTTGTAACAGCCTGTTCTATTTGCTGAACGTCCCAGGCTGACAAAAACACCTTCATTGTAATTTTGATTTCATCGCGTTCGTAATTGTCCATATGATCGTTGTCGCATAGCAGCAAACAACTATTTTCCTAAAAATTGAAGATTTGTTATCATGTTCATTAGAAAAATAAGGCTTATGAAAGAACAAAGCAGTGGTTTCAGGACCGAGAACAAAAACTACAGTTAGCTAAAAATGTTCTGTTCAAATTGCACCGTTTTTCTATTATTTTCCTCAGATCTGAGCCCAGACAACTCTGGAATAATACTTTCTTTATGGAATGATGGAATAATTGCCGGAAAAAGTACGAAGTCTGAAAAGCCGGTATCTGGAAATGGTTTTCTGATGTTTTCGGATATCACCAATTCGCACACATAAAATATTTTCAGACTTTCCGAAAATCATTTTGCCTCTACGACTCTGAAGAGTCGAAAACAATTCTGAGAAAACCAGTTGTTCACACTTCTTCGAATTCCATTTTTGGACACTGGATGAATAGGTTTAACAATCAATTTTATATCATGAACAACCCCGTTATTTTAAGGACTGAAATACTAGCCGTGTATTTAATCTACCTTGAAATCAGCAGCAATAGGGTTTGACGTGAGTTGTAGGTCCAGACATGCTGACAGCTCTTCGGCTGAAGTCTCGAATCGGCGAACCTGAAATAATTAATGACCCATTTTTCCCACATATTATTACATTTTATAAGGGCTGTAAAAAATCTACATGTCCTCTCCCAAGATTTCTATCTTGACATGTTTTTATCTAAAAAGCGTAATGGGGCGCATCAATCTAGCCCTGACCGTTTATGTGACAGGTTTTTTATCAGCCACTTTTTTCTTCTCACCGCGGTGCACGGTCTCCCAAAACGGCGGAAAGCCACTTTTTTCAATGTGACATCTTTCTTTTCTCACCTTCAACTGAGTGTATCCATTGACGTTACCGGTGTGAAGACGGAATCGGGTCAATGACGAAAGGTTGCTTAGAAATTGATGACAATATGTCATTCTTCGCAATTGCTGGACTGAAAAAAAAAAAACAAATCCTAGAAGAAATTTTCATAAAATGGTGAGCCCAGGAAAAAAAACGACAGAAGCAATTCTGTGCACAAAACCCCACTGAGCACAAGATATGTGGATATTTAGATGTGCAAGTGCGGAGGTAGACTTGCAGGAATGACGAAGGAAACAACATGACACAAAAAATTGTCATCATTTTTGGTGAGACTTTTTTCCTCTCTAAGTCTCATACTTTTCTTTTTGCGGCTCTACGTCTAAAGTCTCTCATTTCTCATCTCTCTCGTTCGCAGGACTTTTTCTAGTTATGTTGAAACAAAAGCCAAAGACAGATGAGGGGGTTGCTAGACGCAATACAAAATTTAAAGCTGGAATCCAAAAAGAATTGTGAAAGTGACGCAGTAATTTTTCATCAGTAGAACTGTCCCTTAAAACTTCGTGATGCAGTTTTGCTTCATTTAATCAAGTTCAGAGGAGGAAAAGAAAAAAAGAGATGCAGAGGAGTAATGCGAGAATGTCTTTTTCATGAGACCAATTCTGATTTTCTTCCGTCGAAAAATACTCCCCAAACGAATTTTGAATTTCTCAAGGATAACAATTTGGAAGTAAGCTCCGAAAACACAATGCCGGATTTGGACGGATTATCGCTCAGCTTTCTTCTTTTAGTAGGACTTTAATGATTCAGACGATGCTTTAATTGTTCCAAATTTATCAATAGTCAACCATCATACCAAGGACACCAGAGAATCGCCTCATTCCGATCGAACGGAAAATGGGCGTTCCCTTTTCTGTTTGAACTGGCGGCGCGTTAGATCTGCAGGTTTCCTCTACCGTAGTCCCCCTCTTCTCGTTCATCGATTTTCGTATCGGTTCGCTCATTGTCCTGGCGTGTCGATCCATTGAATTTTCTCAGTCGCACACATACACCCCATGCAAGGGTTTTCTGGAGTCTTCTCACGCATCACGTCTTCTTAACGCTCAGCGCCTTCTCTCCGTGCTCGGCAGCACGCATGCTGTCCGCTCTTTCTATCTAACAAGAGGTTATCGATTTTTGGGCCGACGCGCGCACCACCCCATTTCTTATTACACTGCCAACGCGTATTTCACTTCGTTCTGGCAATCAATCGTTTCTATCTCGATGTACACTCTTTGGTTTATCCTTTTTTCAATACGCAACCTAAATTCACCTTATCCGAATTTTTTTCACGCCTCCCACTTTTTTTCGTAATTTAGAAGATATTTCTTTCATTTTCTATCGAATTTCGTAATCTATTCTCGATTATGCCGTCACATTCAATGTGGGGTTAAACTTTTCTCGACAACTATTTTTAATTTACAGTGGTGAAATAATGGCTTGTGGACTCGCTTTGAAAAGACCTCTGCAGCACGAATATGAATCGTATTTAACCGATGAATCATACAATAGCGAAGCAAAGCGAGCAAGAACTCAATGCCCTCCATTCCGCGCTCAAATGGGAACTATCGCCGCCACACTACCATCTACCAGCACATTTGCCCAGAAGTTTAAAGAACAGGTATGTCAGTTACAGAATAGCTTTTAGTTGACTTATGTGTCATATATTCCTCGAAAAAAGAATAAGTAATTTTTCGAGCTCAAACTGACACAATATCAACGGCAGATTTGCAACTAGTCATGGTTCACATGAACCTGGCTTTACTTTTCTCTGACTACACTTAACAACTGCTGCTATAGTTTCAGCAGTTATATGAAATTAAGATGTGATTAAATGTCCAATTTGCAGGAGGATAGCGTTTTCCAAGCAGCAACACTGATGACTCGGTTGTCCAGAAACCAGCTCAAGACGTACCTTTGTTCAGAAGTGAAGAATCTTCGCAAGAGAAAAGCGATTCCTCGTAACAATGATTTCGATGAAAATAAGGAGCAGAGGGGCGATGGCAGCGGTGCAAGTTACTCAAAAGCCTACAGAGCCCCTTCTTCACCGAAGGTGAGTTCCGAACCCGCCTAACATTTTGTGTGAACAAGGTTTTTCGTCAGAAACATTTTTTAGTCGAGGTCTAGTAGGGGCATTGCACAAACATTTTCAGTAATTTGGATGAAACTAAACCCCCTGTGAACACAAGTTATGAACTAGAGTAAAATGACATCGAGTTTATTTGGAGTAATGTAACTAAAAATTTCAGTCCGGGTCGGATTCCGAAGGTGAAGCGCCACTTGCTTCCGTCAACGATCGGTTCAACAAACGTGAGTTCACGATGGACAACGTTACAATGATCTGCGAGCGGTTGCTCAAGGAACAAGAAGTACGCTTGAGAAGTGAATTCGAAAACGTTTTGGCCAAGAAGTTGGATGGTAAATATCACAGTTTTTCAACCGAGTTTGTAAACGTGTTTTTCAGAGCAACATCAACAATACGTCCAATTCGCCACTGAACAGTTGAACTCGAAGTGTGTCAGCGCTGGGGACGACTATGCTTATTCTTATCTCTCCTAAATCTATTCCTCATTCGATAAACACCACGCAGTCATCATTCATAATCCTCAACCCTTTTCACAGTAATAAGCCAAAAACAATGAAGTTCGGATTCCCTGCTTTTTCTGCCTTTTAAATTCTTTCTTTACATGTTCGAAATTTAATTCATTTTTCCTCCACAGTTTCTCGCTCACAGGTACTCTCAAATTAACGCGGTTTTTTCGTTGGTTTGATCATTCTTTCCGCCTCTTTTTCCCGTCGCCTTACAAATCTTTTTAGGCATTAACTGTATGAGGCTTTTTCCAATTTAAATTAGAAAGAAATTAGATATTCGTAGCTTTGTTCCAAGAATCACTACCCCCACTGTCGCTCAATGCTTTGCACCGACCCTTTCATTGCTAATGTGATAAATATTAGTGAGCAAAATTTTTATAAAAATTTGCTTACTGTAATCCCCTCTTCCTTTATAAAATATTTTATCTCTCCACCCTCTTATCTGTCAATTGCGTCCTCATTTCTCCTCATGTGCTACATTTGCTTTCAACCGTTCAAATAAAGTGCTATACATGTGAATTATCTACATATACAGAAACACGTTCATCTCAATCCGTCACATAATCCCTTTAGACATTGAAATATATGAGTTTAACATCTCAGCTCTCCAGGCTAAAATGGAAGTTGTTGGACTAATTTCTGGAGGAAAAGACAGTTGCTATAATCTGATGTGCGCTGTTCGAGAAGGACACAAAATCGTAGCACTCGCCAATTTGCACCCACCTAAAGATTCCGAATCCGATGAACTGGATTCTTACATGTACCAAAGCGTTGGAGCTGATGGAATCGAGGTACATTCTGAAAGTTCAATTGACAGCTTTATCGAATTTTTCTGCGGTTATTGGAACCTGACTAAATTTAACTACTAGCTACTAGACATACAACGTATAGCAACAGAGATTTTTTAATCGCTTCAAAATCGACAAATCTCAGTTCTCGTCCTTTTTTAGAAACTTCTAGAAGGCTCTCGAATCTTTTTTGAACTCCCGTTCAAACTCCGAAAAATTAGCGGTTTTTTTTCCGATTTTTCGAGAGAACAATTAATTTTTTCTTCGATTTTTTGCGAATTTTTAGACCTTCTTAAATTTTTTAGCTATTTTTGAAGATTCTTTTTCGATTCTTTCGAATTTTTATCTGAAATTTGGCAAGATGATGTTAGCGAAGATTACTGTAGATTGCTGTAGAAAACCTTCCATCCGTTATTTTTTTGACAATACAGTAACGTCAAAATCCAGAAAATTCCAGAAAAAACAGTTAAAATCCAGAAAAAACAGTTCGATTCTGCCCGCGTTCTGTTCTGGTAAGTGTGCAAAAAAAGGACTGTTCTGAATTGAATCAGTTCGATTTTAGGTCTGTTCGATTTTGAAAACGTTCGAATTCGTTGTACCCCCAATTTTTCGGAGTTTGAACGGGAGTACGAAAAAAGATTCGAGAACCTTTTAGAAGTTTCCAGAAAGGGACCATCGCTCGAAAAATTGTTCCCGTTCTCACTAGGGAACTTATGAGGATACCCAGTTATCGAATTAACAAATTTAGAAGCTTTCAGCTTTATGGAGAAGCGATGGGGCTCCCATTGTATCGTCGAGAAATCAGTGGACAGGCTAAAAATCAAAAGGCTAACTACGAAAAAACGGAAGGAGATGAAGTGGAAGATCTTTTTGAATTGCTGACAGAAGTCAAAAAAAATCATTCAGAAGTAAAAGGAGTTTCTGCTGGAGCGATATTGTCGAGCTATCAAAAAGTTCGCGTTGAGGATGTGTGTCGGAGACTGAATCTCACTCCACTATGCTTTCTTTGGGAGAAGGAACAGAATGTGAGTTTACAAAAATATACTGAAATACTACAAATTCAAGTTTTAGGTAGCATTCTATTCTAATCATTACCTCTGTGTTTCCATTTGAAAAAGTAATAGCAAGTAACAAGTAACTAGTGTAAGTAGTATAGAAGTAAAAAGTGATTTATTAATATAAATAACCTCCTCGAGTTATTGCTCATATACAATTGATTATAAGGATTAAAAGACCAAAGTCTTCTCTGGTATAGTCTATATTCAGAGCATTCTCATAATCAACATGTGCTTTTTATACAAAACATGTTGTAAGAAACGTATTTTCAGTCCCTACTCTCCGAAATGGTGGAAAATGGCGTTGATGCGGTTCTGATCAAGGTGGCAGCAATTGGACTTGGCGAGAAACATCTTGGAAAAACGCTCGCAGACATGGCTCCAATCATGAAAACACTACAAGACAAGTATGGAGTTCATCCCTGTGGAGAAGGCGGAGAGTTCGAGTCATTCGTTCGAGACTGTCCGCTTTTCAAAAAACGGATTGTGATTGATGAGACAGAGGTACGCGGATCAACCGGTTCATTCGCTAAAAGATGATTTTTCAGACAGTTACCCATCAAGATGATCCGGTTGCTCCCGTATTTTACCTTCGCCTCAAGAGAATGCATCTGGAAAACAAGTAAAATCATAAATTCTGACCAATTTACGTTGTTTTGCTTTCAAATCTGTTGTTTATTGTTGATGTAATTTTGCGTTTAAAAACTGTTTTTTTCCTAATTATACTTTAATTTAACTTTGTTAACTTTGTTAACTAATTTAACTTTGTTTTTTACCTTGGCTAAATTCACCTTGGTTATTGACCATAAGATATGCGTGCAAACAACAATCGAAAATTCAATCTTTATTGTAGAGAGTAAGGAGAACTGTTCTCTAAAATAACATGGGAGGAATAAATGGAGGACAGCATCTTATTTAAAACAGGGAACACTTGGGTTCAAGCGAGGGGGTCAGAAAGAGCGCCCCAGTAAATTTAGGAAAAATTCTAAATTCGCTGCCGAATTTCGTTGGCTGAGTTTCACAGTTTTAAATGAAGAGCGA